CTAAAAAATAGCCTATTTTTCTTATTTTAAACGAGAAAAAAAATGGAAATTCACAATATTTTCGAAATTTTTTTCTTCGTTCCATCGAAATTATGTACGTAATTAATTTCGATCGTTACAACTAAAAGTAAAAAAAAATACTGGATTTAAATTGGTCAGCCAGAAAAACGAGAAAGATGTGAGAGTATGCTTTCAGAATTTTTCTTAAACATCAGACACATCTAGCAACGCATAATATCATAGTATTTCAGGTGTTAGAGACACTCACAAAATCTATTTGCTAATTTTATCCATTCTATGCATATCATTTTTCTCCTGATGTGGTATGAAAACTTACTATATTTCCAATTTTCGGAAAGTTTTATTAGTATTTCCAAAGTAAAAACTGTCAAATTCTCAATAAAGTAACGCGGTTCACCGCGCTACTTTATAACGCGTTCAGCAGCAGCTTCTACGGACCGCTTCCAAACGCGTTCAGCTACGTTAACGGTGACGAATTACGATACGAATCGCGTTAGTTAGCAAACGCACCTAAACGCGTTTGTTTTTAATGCGTTCGGGAGATACTAACGCGTCCAAACGCGCTTAATTTTAATGACGCATTCATTTTGAATGAAACGCATTTATCACTGATTAACGCGTCCAAAGTTGTAAGAAAGTTCAGTTGTAAGAAAACGCGTTTAGCAGTGCCTTTAGTCTAAAAAAATGTCTGCCTGAATGTGCAGTAAGAATTGTATCTTGGAAAATGAAAAAACAACCAAGGAATCGGTAAATTGTCTCAGTTCTGCTGACAGTTAGATAGTTCCTACTGGGTAGATGGAATCTACAATCAGTTCCACGGTGAACTGAAGGTGATACAGACTGTAGGCCAACTGATTTATTACTGAGACTATTTTTAATGTTTAAGTTGATTAAAGCCGCTGAAAAATGAAGACTACTGGTCTATATAATCTTTAGGCAAATTATTCGAGCTTTGTCATTGCATAAGCAGAAGCAAAAACCTTTTATTTGATAGGAAAAGGTAGGCAAGCTATCCAACCTAATGATTCCACAAAAAGAATTAAAAAGCGTTAAATTTGACTTTCACGCCAGAATACTTATTGTACAAAGGATCATTATCACCTCTCTTTCAAGTGCAGCAGCTAGCAATCGTTCACATAACAGAAGCCTTTACATTATTCCGGTTTTCGACCGTGTATCTTCATGAAACGTTGACAGTCTGACGGTTAGATTCTAGAAAATGATGTACCTGTCAGCACAATGTTCATAGCATATGATAGATTGTTATTTTATTATGATGCTGTAGACTTTAATCTAAAGATTTAAATAGTCTAAGCAGAAGCGCTTCACCAATTTAATATCCACACATATATCTTCAACGACTTTTTTCCATTCAGCGCTTCCACCTCAAAAAACAAAAGTCAGATTCGTGACCTATACAAAAGAGCTAATCGCAAGACATGTTTGATGCGTGTATCTCCAATAAAAAGCCCTTTTTCAGGTTGCAGCATCCAAATATTTTACAATCAACTCATTCCTGATTAAAAGTAATACTAGCAAGTTTCTTTTACTCACAGACGAACCTAAACAACAATGAGACATTTTCATAGTTAAAATTTCTACGACTGGAAACTCGAACCGAACATCGACTTCAAAGAAAAACCGAAGCCGGCAGTTTCTTCGCAGTAAAAACAACGTGTCTAAAAACGACTATAAGCCTGAAACAAATACCAAAAAAGTGAACACATAAACAACTGCTCCACCGTCACATACATACACAACTGCCCACCCAAAACAACTATCCTTTAGAAAAAATTCTTTATTTCGGACAACTTCTTCTCAACCCCGACACGGTCCGGATGTCCTGATGCAAGCAACTTTTTATCACTCGTCAAGCATCTTTCAAAAAACACCCTACAGCACGCTTATACTCCCTTCTCCTGTAATAAACGTTGCCAATATTACTGAGACTACAAGCTATAATTGGATGATCAGATGCCAAACATTTTTCTTTCATCCTGAGCCATTTTGAATAATAGTCCGAAGCACGATCATACTCGCCTTTGCTGTAATAAACATTCCCAATAGCAAGGAGACTACTAGCAATATCCGGATGATCAGATGCCAAACATTTTTCTTTCATCTTGAGACATTTTGGATAATAGTCCACAGCGCGATCATACTCGCCTTTGTTGTCATAAACCAGGCCAATATTTTTTAGACTAGTAGCAATATGTGGATGATCAGATGGCAAAAATTTTTCTCTCATCTTGAGACATTTTGAATAACAGTCCAAAGCACGATCATACTGGCCATTGCTCTTATAAATATTGCCAATATTATTCAGACTACTAGCAACATCTCGATGGTCAGATGGGAAACATTTCTCTCACATCTTGAGACATTTTGAATAATAGTCCAAAGCACGGTCATACTCGCCTTTCCTGCCATAAACTAGGCCAATAATATTCAAACTAGTCGCAATATCTGGATGATCAGATGGCAAACATCTTTCTTGAATCTTGAGACATTATAAATAATAATCCAAAGAACGATCATACTCGCCTTTCCTGCCATAAACCAGACCAATATTATTCAAACTAGTCGCAGTATGTGGATGATCAGATGGCAAACATTTTCCTTGAATCTTGAGACATTTTAAATGATATAACAACTGTAGTAAACATTGCCAATGGCAAGGAGACTACGAGCAATATATGGATGATCAGATGGCAAACATTTTTCTCTCCTCTTGAGACATTTTGAATAACACTCCAAAGCACGATCATACTCGCCTTTCCTGCCATAAACCAGGCCAATATTATTTAAACTAGTCGCAATATGTGGATGATCAGATGGCAAACATTTTTCTCTCATCCTGAGACATTTTGAATAATAGTCCAAAGCACGATTATACTGTCCATTGCCCGTATAAACATTGCCAATGGCAAGGAGACTACGAGCAATATCTGGATGATCAGATGGCAAACATTTTTCTTCAATCTTGAGACATTTTAAATAATATTCCAAAGCACGATCATACTGGCCCTTTTTGTCATAAGTATTGCCAATACTACCCAGACTACGAGCAATATGTGGATGATCAGATGGCAGACATTTTTCTTGATTCTTGATACATTTTGTGTCACAGCGCAAAGCACGATCATACTCGCCTTTGCGGTCATAAATATTGCCAATACTCCCCAGACTAGTAGCAATATGTGGATGATCAGATGGCAGACATTTTTCTCTCATCTTGAGACGTTTTGAATAATAGTCCAAAGAATGATCATACTCGCCTTTCCTGCCATAAACCAGGCCAATATTATTCAAACTAGTCTCAGTATGTGGATGATGACATGGCAAACATTCTTCTTGAATCTTGAGACACTTTAAATAATAGTCCAAAGCACGATCATACTCGCCTTTGTTGTCATAAACCAGGCCAATATTATTCAGACTACTAGCAGTATCTGGATGATCAGATGGCAAACATTTTTCTTCCATCTTGAGACATTTTGAATAATAGTCCAAAGCACGATCATACTAGCCTTTGCTCGTATAAACGTTGCCAATATTGCTGAGTACTCTAGCTGATGCTTTCTCTGGCACAGGCTTGCTCATCATCATTGTTGCATAGTTGTGCTCAGACAACTGCAGTGCTTTGTCGTACTCGCCTCTGAAGTCGTGAGCACGACCAAGGTTAAACTCAATGTGACTTATATTTTCACCTTGATGATTTTGAAATATATTCTCAAATTGCTTGATTGATTGGTCATACTGTCCCATATCACAAAGAAGTGAACCAAACATGGCCGCAGCGCTTCTTTCCTCGAGCTCTTTTCTGTTCAACTTGATATATTCTCGTGCTATATCTGCTTCTTCGCTTGTTACTCTTAGGTTTACACGACTGAGATCCAGCTTTTCACGGATAACTGACTGAATTTTGAATGTTGCACCTAGATCAAACAGGACTTCCTGCTCTTCTGGATAATCGCTAAACTTAGCGACGTCAGCACACACAATGTCATCACCATTTAACCCATTGAAATCATACTCAGTCTCAAAGAGAACAACAACAGCGTCTCGACGCTTCATCGACTTAGATGCGAAATTCAGAGCCACTGAAGACAAACGACTTGTTGACAGAAAGCCATTCATGGAAATGAGTTTACCTTCATTCTCTTTCAGCTTTTCAACTTCTTCATTCGACAGTTTCACACCACGATAGACTGGAAGCACACCCTTCTCGCGCTCTCTCATCTTCTTATACTCTTGTGCAAGACTTGAGCACAGATCGGTAATGAAAAAGCGAAATATGTGCAGTTGTTCGATGTCTTCTGTACGTAGAGCTTTGTTGATGAGCTTGTAAACGAACGATTGTCGTGTATACCATCGAATAGCATCAGCTCTTCGATAAGTGTCACTGTGTTCTTGGATGGTTGCCACTTCTTTTCTGTTCCCACGATAATACTCCTGATACTTCTGAATCATCTGTCGTTTCCCACGATTATCAGGAGGCATTTGGATGATTAAATCTTTGAATAGTTGAAACCATAGAAAGCATGCAGATTCGCGAGTTAAATCACGAGTCGATTTTTGTTGATTATAAAAGCTGAATGATTGGATTTGTTTCTCAACTAGATCGATGTTGTTTTTGATCGACTTGACGAGTTCTTCACGTTCATTGAATATTCCGATTATTTTCGAGTACTCATTTTGGAGATGTTTGTACTTGTTTGGTTTGCGACAGAAGATAAATATGGAGTCGACTTGAGATTGAATCTCGGCATGAGGCAAAAGATCGATGGCACATTTGCCCAATGTGACAAGAAATATTCTTTCGTTTTGAACATTTGTGACGTGGTCAATGCATGAGTCTAATTGTGTGTGGGAAACAACGAAGTCGTTGATTTCTCTCAGCATTGCCACAGTGCGTTGTGTGTCATCGTCTGAGCCAATGTTTGGATCAAGCCAGATCACTATCACACTCTCGTTGTTTTCATCATTTCGTGTTCTCTCAGTACTAGTGGCAATCGTCGATGGTTGAAGTGAAGAACAAGATGCTTCCGATGTGGATTGTGCATTTTCATCGGTTTTGTGCAAGAAGCCGGTGATGTTTTCGATATTTGTGTTACTGCTGATAGAGATGTCGGAGATGATGATTCTGTGTCACGCTTTTCGTTGCTCAAACAGTATTTGTGAGAAGTGGAGGACGAGGATGAAACTGTCGCTTTAGTCTTAGAGTTCATGTGTTGCCGTTGCGGTGTTCTAAAAGTGAACGATAGAAGAAGTGAGATGAGTGCGGTATTGTAGTGTTGATGAAGGTTAGTCTCTGCTCTCTTGTTTTATTTGAAATAAAAACAATATTATACTGCAGAAGCACACATACTTTCAGTTTGCAGACATTTATTCAGTGGACGTAAAACTGTTCTTTCTGTGCGCTATTTGTATAGTTTGTTGTGAACGGAACAAGTCACTGGAAGAATAATAACACTGTTTTCATTGTGAAGAAAGGTAATGAAACTAAAAGTGATGGCGAGAGTGTATTTGTTCTAGTTGATAAGAGAATGATATTAAAAACTGCTTTGTTTTCGTGAGATTAAACAACATACTGTTATGTTTTGTTTTTCGAAGACAAACAAAAACAGAACACGCTTATAATACTTACTCTCCACTTCACTGTCGGTCGTCGTTTCTTTTATTTTTGTCGAAAAAAGTCGACATAATGACTGGGATCGACGGACCTCTATTTAAGACATGTTTTTTATTCCTGAGCAAATATATTTTTGAAACAAAACAAATGAACAGTGTTCAACTGAGTTCTAGCGGAACTAGAATTCTAGTGTTTCACCCGAATTTACAAAACGTTTGTACCCTAAGTTCTAAGGGTGTCATCAGTGATGGTGTTTTGATCAAACCAGATTTTAGAACTTTATTTAACTAGACTTTGCTGGGTGATGTATATTCTCTAGGGTAATCTTTTATGTGGATACTTTACGAAGATTCTGGAGCGCAAATTGATTAAATCAAAGTTTCTCACAATATTCACCACCTAGCCGGATGAAGCACAAGGCAGAATCTAGTTAAATATCTAAACAACATGTCTTAAATAGAGGAAAACTAAATAAATAATCAAATATGTCCTCAAGAGGAATTTGCTATGAGTCTTCGTCAATTACTTCACTACCACTAAACACATATTCAATCGATATTTGCTCCATAAACAAATAACATTTTCATACAACGTCGAGCCGGTGCGGGAGGGGAGTCGGGTGGCTGAGAGGAAGCCACTAACACACATCCGGTCCGGAATCAAGCTGAACAAGAATTTAAATTCGATATCTTGCAGAATCCCAGTTCCAACTCGAAGTTCGACGAAAAACTTTTTTTTCGAAACAGTTACAGTAAAGAATTCCTCCCAATTCGGATTCGATATCTTCGATATCTCGAATCCTAATTTGAATTCGAACTCAGCACAAAAATTTTTTTACAACCTTTTACAGTAAAGTATTCATCCCAATTCGAGTTCGAATTCTGGTAGAATCCCAGTTTGAAATTTTTAAAAAAAGTTTTTTCTTACAAACTTTTACAGAGAAGTGTTTACCACAATTCGAATTCGAACTATGGAGTATGGCAATTCGAGTTGCAACGCTGTTTTAAAGTGTTGTACGTATGAAAGTTTCGTAGTATTCTGTTCACAAAATCGTAGTTATATTCGAACTCGAATTAGTCAGCTACTCTACAAGATTGTTATTTAAAGACTAAAGCCGATAATGTAGTTCGATCAGTATTCCTTCTAATATTTAAAAAGCTATATTCAACAGCTGTACGACCTGCTTATATCGCCACCGGGAGATATCTTCATTCCATCAGCCACAAACAAGCATCGACGTCATTCATCTTTTCAAGGTGATCTAACGAAGGAAAGTTAAGCAAATGAAGTTGAACGTGAGAAGAAGAAGAAGAAACTAGCGAATAAACCAGTGGCGAAACATAAAAAAACAAAACAAACAGATAATATAACTTTAACAGATCGAGGATTATGTGTTGCACCGGCATTAATATCGTCTTCTTCGATCATCCTTAGTCCACAAGCACAGCCATTTATCCCAGGCTATTATGCAGAACAGCCCTCAACGAATACAAATATGTGGCCAACTAGTCTACCACATTCATATATATTAGAATCATCACTAGATCAACCAAGCCAAAATCATACTTATGTTGATATGTCTTCATCTCACTAGTCACTATATGTATGTACGTCCGTCACGCTCACTGGTCACTATATGTACGTACGTCTGTCACACTCACTGGTCACTATATGTATGTACGTCCGTCACCCTCACTGGTCACTGTATGTATGTACATCCGGAAGAATTTTTGAAACATTTGGCATACGTCCCAAATTGATTCCACAAGATAAACAAATGGAACTGACAGCGCTTTCTAGTATTATGGTAAATAAAGATTCTCCAAAATCTGGCAGACCCATTGTTGCTATTGGAGAGACGGGTCTTGATGATACTAGTAAACACTCGATTGGCGAACAACTAATGATATATACAGAGCAGGTTTTAATGGCTGCGAGATTTCAAATGCCCCTGGTACTTCACTGCAGAGGAACTCATCTCTTTCGACAAATGTATGAGATTTTGAAAACGGTTTTACCGATGAATCACCCGATACATTGGCATTGCATAAATGCGAACAGCGATTTATCATTACTAATGGAGTTAATGAACACATTTCCCAACTCATATATTGCTTTCAATGGTTCTAGTGTGAGTAATAGTGATGAGAATATACAGAAAGCATTTCGTAAATGGATTTTAGACCTCAAAGATTTACTATCTCACCTTATACTTGAGACTGACTTTCCATTCTTATGTCCTGAAGGTTTATATGTACATGACTATAACCCGATAAGTGGTATCTTTGCTTCGGCTAAGTTCATTGAAGAAACGGCGCGGATTCGTGGGGAGAATGCGAATAAACTCATTCAATTATCGAATTCCAATATAAGACGTGTATATAACCTTTCACGATTTGATGTCTGAAATCGCACATAAACTATGATCTGAACGAGAACTACTGAAAAAGAAAAAAAGGAAAAGAAAAAACCAATACATTAACATATAATGGACAATTGCCTCATATGAAATCTATTTTCCAACGATTTTCGAACCCAAAGACCGATTGGTCTCGTTACATATTTACATTTAAGTGTCCTCCAAACTTGCGCCGCTATCTTGTTCGTTCGAATCATTTAGGACCTTTAGGTGCA